CAACCGGAAGCGTTTCGGGCGGCGCCCTACGACGAGGAGTACATGGAGAACCAGTGCCATGAGCGACCCATCCAAAACGACAATTGCTCGTACGAATTGTACGCCAACAGCAGCTTCATCTACGCGGAAGCCAAATATTTGGGCCTAACCCAGAAAGAGGTGTGCCCCGTTGTTGCGCTTGAGCAGTCGCGCCTTATGATGCCAATCGATTTACCGATTGATTGATTGATGACCTCTTTTTGTATGTTACAGTGCCAGGCGCTCTGCACACACGAGTCCAAGTTCCACTGCCAGGGCATCTCCTTCTATTATCTCAACCAGCTCACACGCTCCGAGTGCCTGCTGCACTCCGAGGACATCGTCTCACTCGGCCCGCGCAGCCTCAAACTCCGCGACAATTCGGTCTACATGCGGCGCGTCAAATGTCTAGATGGTGAGTTAATACCAATACACGAGAGATTGAATAGAATAGACTAAATATCGTTGGAGACATATATGTACATAGATATGTAGCCGTTTGCATGGTGAAATTCTTAAGAAACCTTGAAAAACAAAGCAGAACTTCTTCTGATATCCGATATCCAAGTCGAAGACAAAATACCCTTCCATGTTTGGCTTGTTAGGGAGTTGTCATTAAAGAATTTGATCGATCAATGTTTCTGCACAGTATTCTGCTGTTGACTCGATTTTATTCATGTGTTGGGAGCAAAAGTTTGGTAAGAAATATTTTGAAAAACAAAGAATATTTCATACAAAAACTGATATTTCGACCCATAGACCTACTCTAAGATATGGCAGTAAGAAGCTTGACTAAGCTCGTTAGCACCACATTTTATCAAGATATCTTTAAGAACTTAATTGTTGAGCGATGTTTCCTATTGAAGCTATACGATATATATATTTGGTGTTAAGATTCTGCTAACATTATGGGAGCAAAGTACAAATGACAAGTTTGGTCAACATATCTGAAAAAACAAAGAGTTTTTCTTCTCGAATTTAAATAATATTAGGACAGCTTTATGATAGAGATGATAAAGACTACTCTCATATAACAAACTCAGCTTATATAATATTTTCTATATCTTCGACAATAGATATATCTTCAATAATTTATCCATCGATAAATAAAAATTTTGAAACTTGGTGTTTATAGCATAACTCAAAACATACATATATGGTATTGAGGTTCTTGTATAGCAAACACAGATTAAGAATATTTCACTATTTAGATACGTTTCCAATGCTATACTAAATATTAAACTAGTCGCATTTTTTAAGGTAATTGTTTATTGAAAGAGATATTTAAGAAAGCATATTACATGGGGGAAAGTGTGTATAGAGCGACAGTTTTGGCGTTGGGTTCAGGGTGTCTCTTAGTCTGGCATACTCGACCAGGTGACTCTTGCTTGTTTTAAGATAGCTTTTAATTGAGAGGCTAGGCAGCTTGTCATCTTGTTAAAACAATAAATTTCTTTATGGGGTGAAAAGTGTCATCTTCCACGAGCCACAAATGTCGTTAAGACTACATAATATATCTGCTGTTGCTTAAATATTTATCTATATCTTTCTGCTGTCTTTCCCGCAACACAGTGCAGGTCTTCTGCACCCGCGATGAGATGACCGTCCGGTACAAGCCCAAGGACTCGTTTACAGGCAAAATGTACGCCAGCATGCATTCGAAGGAGTGCCAGGTGAGCGGAACTGGCAATGAGAGTTTGCTGCTGCGCCTGGAGATTGGCAGCGAGGCGAAGGAGAATCGATGCGGAGTTTTGCGCGCCTACGAAATGACACATTCCTATCACAGGTAGCCGAACAGTCAAAACAATTACCATACAGTTCCGATATAAACTAAGCTGAACCCCTCGCAGAACCTTCATATCCGCACTGGTGGTCATCCAAAACAATGCGAATGTGCAAACCCAAGGCGATCGTCTCATTAAGGTCGGCTGCATCCTGAACAACGCGACGACTGCGCTTGGCTTAAATGTGCGGGATAGCACTGCGGATGCGACGGAGCATGTGCCCAGTGCTATTGCGTTGGAGTCCTCTCTGGAGTATGCCGAACAGTGAGTGCTTATGGCGAATACCCAGTCGATGACACACTATAAACAATCCAACTCTTACAGCATGTTTCCGCAGGAGGGCGTGGTGCACTACAACAGCAGCACGGGCCCCCATCCGCACCCGCAGATCACACTTCAAATAGTAGACCTCTCGCAGCAGCATGAGACAAGCGACGTGCAGATTGGCCAGAACCTGGAGCTGCAAATTGTGGCCGAGTACAGTAAGGAGCAGCTGGGCGAGCATCTCGAACTGCAGCTGGCACCCTTGCCGGACTTTCGCGCCACCTCGCTGGTGGCCAAGTCGCAGGATAATCAGAACTATGTTCTGCTCATAGACGAGCAGGGCTGTCCCACAGACGCCAGCGTATTTCCAGCGCTGGAGCGTGTACGCACAACTTCCCGCAGCATGCTCCGCGCACGCTTCCATGCTTTCAAATTCTCTGGCACGGCCAATGTAAACTTTGATGTGAAAATACGCTTTTGCGTGGAACGTTGTGCGCCCACAAATTGCGTTAATCTCTCCGGCGGCCTCTGGCAGCGACACAAGCGGCAGGCGGAACGACCAGAGCGCCAGCTGGAACAGCTCAGGATACAGAATCCAGTATATATATCGACTGTAATGGATGTGCTTCCGGCTGAATTGAGCAATGCAACAACCGCCTCAACGGCCAATATAAGCGCACAGGTAGAGCTGCCTCTCAACTATAATCTTCGAGTTCACGGACCGGATCAAACAAATAGTAATAGCTACTTGTACGGAGAGCGCGGGGTCCTGCTCATAGCTGGCATTGATGATCAGCTGCACCTGGACAACATATGCATCAATCAGAGCTTGCTGATTGCGCTCTTCATACTCTGGTTGATATGTCAGGTGGCATTGCTTTTCGGATGCGGCATGATGCTGCAGCGTTACCGCCGCCTGGCGAAGCTGGAGGAGGAGCGTCGACGCTTGCACGAGGAATACCTAGAGGCTAGGCGCGTACACTGGGCCGATCAAGGCGGATACACACTCTAGTTGTCTTATTTGAGTTTAAAATATTTTTAATTGAATAAAATTAAGTGAATCTTATAGTACATATAATCATGCTGAAATCAGCTTTAAGAATTTTTCTTGGGATCATAGTGCTCCCACTTACGATGATTCAGTAAATTAAAATCCTTACAATACAAGGCAATCTGGCGCAGATAAGTGGATAGTTTCAACAGCTCCTTGTCCTTCGAGCGGTTCAAGTGGGCCTGCCGAAAGGGCCGTATCTTGAGTCCCGACTTGGGATTCATCATAAAGTTCCGTCGTATATCATCGAACATGATCGTGTTCCTGGAGCTGTACTGCTTATACAGGCCCCAGATGACGCCCAGGGGCTTCACATCCACCACGCCGCGCTCCGGCACATGCACTGAGATCATGGCATTCGAGTCGAGGTAGAACATTATTTTATAGTTGTCATTAGTATCGACGCCAAGCAAGCGCATTTTCTCCTCAATCCAGCGCATGCTGGTGGCGGACCAAATGACAATGTCGTAGTTCTCATATGCGGAGGTCAGAAACTCGTGTAGAAACGGTCGCATCAGTTCCGTGCCCTGCTCGGCGGGTGACCGATGGTCAAATAATGTGTAATCTATATCTAGGACAAGCAGGTGTTTGCCCTCACGTGGTGGCGATATCTCTGCGATTTTATAATCACGCACTCGACGCTGCACTTTGGCCAAATACACTGCGGAATTCTCCACGGAATCCTCCCGTTCCTCGGCATCATCAAAGTCGTCAATTACCTCGCCGATGTCCTCGGGCAGACTGCATGCATCTTCAATGTCCGCCTCTGTGGACCCAACCATCATCAGCTTGAAATTCGGTTTCAACTCCAGTGCACATAGTTTAACGTTGTCGGCGGCCGGTTTTCCTACAAATCCGCAGATTAATTGTGGGATTCACTTAGGGCGTTTCTGCTTACCTTTGTGTTTAAGATTCAATAGTTTCTGGCGCTCCGGTCGCACCTGTGTTTTGAGAAAGATTTCGTGGCGCAGCACCTCGACAGTGTCTTGATCCGTCAGGTCAGACAATGGGTACTCCTTGCCACTCCATTTCAGCACAACAACGATTTCCTTTATGTCAGTCATTTTGCCACTGCAATAAATTGTGTTTTTGTACAGATCGAGAGAGAAAATAAACAGCCGAGCAAAGAAATTATAAATTTAAAAAATACGCCATCTTTACTCCCATATACGTACTTTGTTTGGGTTGCTGCTTAAACAGTTTGATTTCGTTTTATTAAAAGCAAAGTATAATTATTCATATTCCACTAAATTTATTTGCGCGTCAGCATATAAAACATTGGTTCAAAAACTTGAGTTTGCACGGAAACTAATGATGAACTAGTTCATTTTGTACCATTGTTCATTATTTATCGATTACATATGAATGATGCAAATTGAACTATTCATTGCATGCCCAGTTTAACCAACACTGTAAGCCAGTTGTCGATGGCAAACAGCTGATCGCAGTTATTTTTTGAATTAATAATATGTGGGCAGTCAAACAAATACGAAGTTTTTTTTGCATTTAGGATTAAATCTGTCCTTTTATATACATTTTCACATTTCAAGAACGCGGAGAAAGCAAAAATAAATAAATATTCAGTTCACAAAGCAAAATTTTAGATATATTCAAGCAGTCTTATACGATAAATGGTTCCTCTATTATCAAGAAAACCGGATCTTATCATATTAATCAAAGCATATTATATACAAAAATAAATAACACTTCATCATAAAAAATATATGTATTATTTGACACCATAAAATTTAATAAATTCAAAACAGCAACATAAATAAAAATTTACAAACAATATTTTACAGTATAACGAATAAAAATGAATACTTAAACAATGATAGCATCTGTTATTTAACTATAGTAAACTTTTGTAAAATATATTGTCCAAATATTTTACTTTTCTAGTTGGTATTTTTCGTTTAGCAAACAGTTCGTTTGTTTTGCTGCACACCTTATCTAGTATTTATTCACTATCATTTTATGGTCACACCAGTTTAAATTGAATGCAGCCCCCAACGATCGCTTCTCTGTTCTCTTCGCCTTTTGCTCTCTTAGGTTGTTGGCAGACAACTTTGATAATCGCTTCGGAGAGCGTGTGTAACAAAAGAAAACCGTTAAAAAAGCTGCAAGCTTACTTTGACTTGCTCTTTCTGCTGCTGTTTCGTTGTTGAAAGCCGACTTCGAATGACTCTCACCTGTGCGCGTAAAAAAACGAAGCCACTTCTGCAGCTTGATCGTCTCTCGGTATCTCGGGTCGCACTTTGGTTGATCGTTTGGCTTCCATTCAGTTGCGAGTGAAACGCGAAGAAGTGCAAACGTCTCAAGCGGAATATCAAGTTGTATATAACGAAGTTGCGAACTGAAAGGAGCGAACGAAGTGAGAGAAAGAGAGAGAGAGAGATAAAGCAACGCAAGATTACAAAGTTGAATGAAGTTGATATTTGCAAAAACAAATCGAAATAAATCACGGATCTAACAAGTTCAAACATGCGCGATACCTGTGCATACGAGATATAATTTGCATAAAGCGTAGCCAAGACGCGCCGTTTAATTAACCCACTTTCTAAACGAGATAAAAAACACACACACAAAATCGAGAAAAATCGACAGCAACAACAACAACAACGAATCAAATTAACAAGCAAATAATATTAGCTTTCAAGAAGAAGAATGTGCAAGTGATACCTGATATGAATTTGTTTACTTCGCTTTTTTTTTCATTTATTTAGACTTAAAGTCCACAACGAATTCTAAGTAAACGAAAACCGGCGACAGCAGCAACAATAATACAAAAGTTTTTAGCGAGAAAAAGATGACTTTAAACGCATTGTAAACGATACCGATACCGGAACTCCCCTGCCAGCCCCCGCCGTCGTCGTCGCCGCCCCCGCCGTCTTTCAGTCAGCCAAAACCGCAGCAACAACAACAACGATAAACTGCAACGCGCCGTGTGTTAAATACACCAACAATTCACGTCAGCAACAACAATTGCAAGCTATCGAGCAGAGCCTTTGGATTCATTTCGCCAGCTTGGAAACGAGTTAGCCAGCTAACGTGTTTAATACAATTGGGCCCAGACACCACCAAAAAAGCAACACCAAGTGGCTGGCCAACTTTGGCACAAAGTTCATGCAGTCTTTTATAAGTTCTGACTGCAATTTCATAATCAACAATATTCTTGGCACCCATAACGTGCTCTGGCTGCCGGTTTCACATTTCATTTAAAAACAACAAAACAAGCATACTCGTCCACACCAATACACTACACTACATTCGTACACTGCACGTCTAGAATTTCTTGGATAATTATTACCTGCCTGGCGCATTTTTCTGTTGCCAAAGCTGACGCTGTAAAACTTTGGATTTATTTTTGCATTTTTTCTTAAACAATTTCTGCCAGTTTGCATAAACACCCAGCCGGTAAGTTGAACGTTTTTTAATTAAATATACAACTTACACCTAAGTTATTTATTTCAACTTCTCTAAATGTGTCAACGGAAATGGGCAAGACAACGGCACACCGAAGATTAAATACACTTTCTTGTATATATAGAAATGTTTGTGAAGCTAGTAATTGCTTAGAGACCACATTATGAGAAACATGCAAAAACTCAATATTATTCAGATTCTTACAATATGATATGTCAGACCGATGCTTAATAAGTCGTATATCGGCTCGGCTGTTGATACTGATCAATATTATATATACTTTTTGGGTCAGAGATATCTCTTTCTATGCTTTACAAATATTATCACAAATTTAAAATACCCTTTTTTCTTGTCATTTGATATTGTTGTCGAAAATAAAAATAACAAATAACACAGAATTCAACTTTCAAAATCCCACTTTAGTTGCTTTTCACTAATTGTGCACATAAATAAACAAACTTAGATCAACAATTGAAAATATAAAAGTCCCATGAGAATAATATAAAAGCATTTTGGTGTAATTCGGACTTACGATTAGAAGCAGCGGATAGATTAGAGGGCATTAGAAAGTATTTCAATGTTAATGATAGCCCAATTATTAATGAATCAAATCCAACATAATTAATTACATTAAATCATTTTTCCTATACAAACTTTTTTTAATAAAATGTTTAGGTAAATTATAAAAATCGTATACATAGGTCGTTCCGTAAATAGAAAACTTCGATATCAGAAGTAGTTCCAATAAGCTAACTAATTGAATGGAAATGTGTTAACTCTATAATTTATAATATAATATTATTCTAATTTTCTCAACAACTGTTTTTGAAGAGTTTTGAAAATGTATATTAAATGATGTTAAAAAAAAATTAGAGTATAAATATATGAACGAATAATGCGTTGAAAACCGTGATGCTTAATTCCGTTCAGAGGCTATTTTATTTTCTTTTACTTTTCTTAATTGTTGCTTTCACTTTTGCAAAAAAAAAAAAAACTTAACTCCAAAAGACTTATTGCCAAAAAAAAATGTTTATAATTAACATATAATGTTAATTGAAAGTTCTTTTTCGGCAGCGATTTCAATCAAAAATACTTGGTTAAAAGTGCTTTCAAAGTCATTTCACTCGTTTTACCATAACTTTGCTGCTGTGTGGTAAGGTGTCTCAAGATGTTTGACCTTTGCCACCAGCGCTCACTCGGCATGTGGCAGCTATTCCAGCGATAATCACAATTGACCCAAACCATGCAAAACCCACGTAACTATTGCAATTACTTATGAATGAAACGTTGCAACGACAATTGCTTCGGGAGCAACAACATTAAGTCAACGAGGAAAATTCCATTGAAAGCCGGTGCGCCCGTTGTCTGAAATGTATGTGTTTTTCCGAAAATTGTCAAGCCGTGGAAAATGTCAAAGCGGGCAAAGAAAAATTTGCTACAGAAACGTGTTTTTCTAGCGCAGCAATAGGCCTACGCCTCTGTGCGAAAGATCTCGATGCGACCAGCCAATCATCGGGTTGGTTGTTCAACATTGATGGATACTCCGGCCGCAATCCCAACAACAACAATAAGCCATATACTATTAACTATTTGGCGGCGAGTAAACAACAAATACAACATGTATTTAAGTAGCAGACGCTTTCACAAAACGTGTTCGCTGGCAAAAACAAAAAGAAATATTTACAAATTTGCATTTAAATTTCTTTTACGATACACACACATATATCTATAGATATACAGAGTTTTGAGTTGAAAATCATTTGTTTTAAGATATTGTTAAAGTTCAACACAAGCATAAGAAGTTTGTCGACAATACGAAAAACTGCATTTTGACACGAACTTGTTGAAATAAAATTTTACTAACGTTGATTACTTTGTTGGGCTGGACGCAGAGAGGGGTTGGGCGCGGGTTAGGGGGAGGTAGCCGACGATAGCCCAAAAGTTACGTAGTCAAATTTCAAGTGAGCTCAGCTCAAAATAATTATGCACATTAAAACGGCGCAGCTTTTCACTTTTTTTTTTGCGACTAAACATTTTCAACTCACGCACTTTTGTTTTCTCATTGTTTATTAAATGTTTACATTGTGTTGCTTTGTTGTTTACATAATTCAAAGCACATCTAATACTAATACAAAGCTCTGCTCGTAAATGCAATTTCTGGCTGTCTGTCATGAATTGACTTTGTAAAATGTTTGTGTTTTTAATCTTTTTTTCTTTTATTTTATCAATTCGAACGAAAATGTTGAACTGTGCATCTTTTTTGTGAGGGATTTGATAAAGCAAAAACGTGATCGATTGCAGTCAGATAAGATATCTTAGCGTGGGGTAGAATAATCAGTACTTGATAGTTGTAGGTGATATATTCACGCTGCCCTGAATAGCGCAAATATTTGGTGTTATTTTCTAGCAGAGTTCAATTTCCTGTCTCACACTTGTTTTTTTTTCTCGCTTTTTCTGGTCGTGTCTCGCTGACTCTTTGGCAAATAACTCAAAGCCCACAATGACCATTTCATTATTTATGCTGTAAATCATCTGCTTGTTGTACATTTCTTTTATTTTTTACCATACAAAAATGGTTTTTTCTTTATTTGTTTTTCTTGTTTCTTTCTGTGCGTCAAGTTTGCACGACAAGCGGCGGAGAAAGTTTTGTTTTTTTTATATACACATATAAGTATATAAATATATATACAATTTTTTTTTGCAAAGCAAAAACAAAAGTAACGTTAAAATAAGATTCAAACAAAAAGCGAAAATTCCAAAATCCAGCAAACCTTTTAAGTGCAAAGTGCAAACATGTGATTTATATGTATATAAATAGGGTTTATGTAAGATACACCTTTGAGGCTTTATTATATCGAAGTGGCATTAAAAACGCATAACAATTAATTGCCAACAAAAAAATGTGAAATACAACAAAAGGCGACTACAAATTAATCAAAATAATTTAAGCTCTGCACCTGCCCCCCACCCCACCCCATTGGCAGATAAAGCGAGAAATGGGCAAATGTTGACTGAATTTTGCAGTCGCTGTCGTTTTTCATCAATATCAGCAAACAATTCCAAGTAAAATATTTCGCTGCCCACATAAAATTAGTTTATTTATGCCCAAAATATGTGACACTTTCTACAAGCCACACCTTGCGCGCGACTCTTGCGCAAGCGACTATAAACGCATGCAAAACGCGGGCAACACCCGCGTCGCATATCCGATGCTCGCTTCTGTTACATCAGCTCAACCCTCAGCTTTGAGTCGAGGTCAGAGCGGGGGCCTGCGCTTTATTATGCGTCGACTGATAATTTAAGTGCACCGCCCCCCCGCACTTCTCCTCCCGTTCTACTACCCCTCCAAATGGGTCGCTGCCTACAAATCAATATGAAATTGTAAATAATTGAGGGAAAACTCTTGTGTGCAGCTCCAGGCTGACCCTCATTATTGTTATGGCTGCGATTGTCTTGAGGCTTATCAGCTTCGGCTGCAGCTTGGTATTTATGCGACTGATGGAAAAATTCTCAATTGCATTGATTTGAAAATCTGCGCCCCAAAGTCGCCACATAAAAATACTTAAAATACTTTAAACTCGCACGCACAACAAAATGTAACCCAAAATGCCGGCATTTTCAATTCTATTTTTGAAAACAGCTCACACACTTGAAGATTTTAAGGCAGAAGCACATTCGATGGGTAAATATATAGCCTGTCTTTTAGATTAGTTGAAAAATTGTTCAGAGCATTTCGGATACATACATTTAATTAAAAACTAACAATACAAATTTTGGGCATGGAAAATTTCACCTTAAAATGCGTCAAAAGATTTAGTTTTCAATAATATTATAACGAGCTATATATGTATACTCAATGTATTGTATAGCTACACTCGAGGCGCTTTTAAGATCTGCGTGCACAAATCTTTATGTGTGTTGATTTTGATTCAATTATATTCAGTAAAAGTTTTTCGTTTTTCGGCTTGAATGAGAAAATGCACGGGCCACAAGAAGAAAAGTGAAAAATGAAAGCGTTCTTAATTGCAAGAGACGCCACTGTAAAACAATTTCAGTTGCGTTTTTTTCCATTTATTTACAATGCTAACGCTGCTGTCAGTGTATGCGCATAAAATTTAATATTAAACAACAAACAAAATCAAAACCAAGAAAAAAGCTCACAATCAAATCGAATTTATTTGCGCTGGCGCTGAGCGAAACACGCCAGTGAACTGTAGCTACAGATACAGATACAGATACAGATGCAGATACAGCTACAAATGTATCTGCATCTGAATCTGTGATTGCATCTTTCACTCTTGGCAACACTTTCGAGCCAACCAGATAATTTCTAATGTGCATTGAATATAATTGAAAAAGTGTAGCAAAGTGCTGCAAACAAAGCAGGCAAGAGGCAGCCAGCATAAATTGAATTATAATTTCAATTATGAACCGTTAAAAGCGGAAGAAAAGCCGCTGCGGACAATACAATGACAGCCTATTGAGAAAGGCTAGCCACCAGACAAAGCCGCCACACAACTGTAAATGAGGTTGAGGCAACACACATACACATATAACCATACATACACGCACAGATGCAGATACATTTACCGATTTAGAAATAGATACAAATGCAGACACAATCTCACTTTGTATCTAAACTTCTTAGCATGTCAATCAAGAAGAACAGTAAACGCGCTTCGAGCTTTGCGCTTTGAGTGAAATGCCTGACGATCTGCGGCAATTCGAGCTGGCCCGCCCCGGGCTCAATCTCCTAGATCTTGGCTTGCTTTAATGACTGCCTAATGGCCCTCTGCCGCCTCTCGTTGAATAGTTGGCGACCCATCGGCATGTGGGTCAACGAATTGTGTCGATAGATACGCATTTGACACAACTGACGGCAACAGCAATACCGACAGCTTGTCATACATATTGTATATAAAAAATGAGCTGTCAATTTTGGGCATTTGCTTCATGGCGAAACACTTTCTGGCGCATCTATTGGGCGCTTACGTAAAGTTTGTTGCCTGCACTTCAGCACCAACAAAATACATATATGTGATGTATCTGTAAGCTGCATGTTTTGTATCGCAATGGTCTTGCTTGGCTGGCCTTAAGAAATCACTTTCAATTTCCATACCCTGTATGCGATAACTATCTAAATAAGGCATAATGGCTTAAAAGATGGTAAAGTAAGCATTTGTTAGAGTGTGAATCCATTAATATTTGCAAATATTAAATTTAAGCTAATCACTTCAAAATATTCCTCATCTCTTTCGTCCGAAGTATGTTTACAAAGAGAGTTACAAAAGGAAGGGGGAAAGATAAAAGAGGCCTATGAAAATATTTTAGTCCTTATTCAAAATAATTGTACGCACTTCGATATAGTTTAGTACAGGGTATTTCATGGTCTAGCACTGTTAATAAGTAAACTTTTACTTATAAGGTTTCTATGTAGCTTTATATACCATTATTTATTGTTGGCGTTGGCTAATTGCCAAATCACTTTGAGCCTGGCTAACACAAACGACAACTTAGCGGGGCCAGCTTTTTTGGTCTGGTATTTACGATATACCCGTAACCTTGAATTGTGGTCGGCGTCTGTCTGCATGATTTCATCGCCGTTTCACACGTCCGAACTTGTCTCCAAGTCGCTTGCGAACTGCTCATTATAATTTTCGCCGCAATCTCGATGACTAAAGATACGTCAACAGGTTTGTCTCTCTTCTCTATATGTATATATTTGTCACTGTCTCACTCTCTTTCTATCAGTTGTCAATTGGTTTTCACTAGAATTTCAGATCGCCAATTGTATTTTTTTCCCTTTAACTTAAGCAATTAGATGCGTAGTTGAGTTAAAACAGCTGCCATTTGCATCGAGATGACAATTTCCAGGGTATTGCTAAATTGTCTGGCAGTGGGCCGTTTTTGTAATTGAATTCATTTTTGCACTTGCTGCAATTTTATTCGCATTATTATCGACAACAAAGCCGCATTGATTATTAACTCATTGAAGCGTAAACAACGCGGCTGCCGGTTTCCTAGTTAGTTGGCCAGGCCAGAGCAAACACTGTCGATGTTACAGTTCCGGCTATTGGTGAATGGTGCGCGCATTTAGACCCAATAATAATGGCCAATAATTACAAGCCACGATTTTGCAAGCCGACAAAAGAGCAAAGCGGCGTACAGCTCGGACCACATTAATAAAATCGACTAATCAATAAGAAAACCCGACGCCGATTGCCGGCATTTGCTTTTGTAATAGCGATTTGGGTTGTTATTGTTGTTGTTGTTGCTGTTGCAGGGTCGCCAACGCTGCATGCCCCTTGCTGTATACGATTTATAGCCGTGTGTAAATCCTTTATAGTCACGCTCCTTTCGCCTAAGCTTTTATTTTTTGCCAGATTGCCTGCAATTTTCAACTCTAAATCAAACCTCCATCCTCATGATTTAGTGGCCCCTTTCGAATCGATCGCGTGATTCATGTGATTTCTGCAGCACGTGCAGAGCTTTGCCTTAGCGCCGCTTTCGAAATTTGCCCGAGATAATTCTAACTATTTAACCACCATTTTCATCCCGTAGACAGCTTAAATATACTCTCAGCACGTTCTTCAAATTGCGGTGGGTGGTGGGTGGTGTGTCTGGTTGTTGTGTTGGCAGCTTGAACCGGCTATGTCTTTGCCTGGTCATGATGGGTGGGCAATTTGAAGGTGTGTTGCGCCTTGTCTGTCTGCGGCAAGTGAAAACATTTTGAAAGTAGTTTTAGAGTGCAGCGAGAAACGTGCATTGTTCGTGACTCTGTGTGGGTGTTGAGAGCTTACATACACATGCACACCCACACACACATAACAATTACATATGTAGCTGCAGTAGTGAGGCTTAGCCAGCGGCTAACTTTTTCTATACGATTGTGCAACCTGGTCGAATCGGCGTGCTTTGCAACACCCCACACTTGACTTTTAACAAAAATAAAACAATCTATCTGAACTCATTTTGTTTATTTTTATATCTAGGCAAATATAAATTGTATTTTATTCCATACCAATGAAACCTCACACATAATTACTCACATTTAGTCAACTGCGGGGTTAGGAACGAAAACAAAATTGTCGGTTTTCCGCAACTTACTCGCTAATCGGTTGTGAATCTAGTTTTCCATATCCATTCAGCCAGGTGTTGATTCAAACCTTTGTTTGTCATATATTCGGAATATATTACTTAAACGATTCGATTCTTAATATTTAATGTCCCATTTTACTGAAAATATTGCATGTCGTAAATATTTTCATATAGAGCTTGCGAGGTTGATCTATACCCAAATTTGGCATCTACCAAATATGGTTTGATAAAACGAATGGTTGGTGCCCAACATAGAAATGTTTTGAGTCTCTCTCAAAAGAAACCAAACCCTTTTTAAAAATCAATAGTTACATTCGAGTTTCGTTCTACTGTTCTTTGGGTAAGCTTTTTTCTAGGTTCACAGGAGAGAATTACTTGAAGCGTTTATTTGGATATGTTTTAGGAATTCAGTCTGATATTAGTTAGGTTGAGACATAAGCCAAAATATGCCATGGACCTAAACATTAAGAATTATAATTATTATTTGATCTACGATTATGCCAAGTATATATATATATATATATATTTCAAATCAAGCAGTGGGCAATATGAAAAAGTAATAGAAAATCTATTAGAAACTTGTTTACACACTTCAGTTGCAGCTGTTTCGCCCCGCGTCTCACCTGAGCCCTTTTCCGCTGAGTCACAGCTACATTCAGATTTTGTATATAGGCAGACATATCGTGTGCGATTGCATGACATGACCAGCCACACGATCCAATGCCCACATGAGATTAAGATTGAGTATTGGTTTTTCTCACAAGCTGCCAAAGCCAATTATGAAAAAAAAAAAAACATGAAAAATCTCCACGCATTGAGTCAGCGTAGCCGGCTTGTTTGCGCAACAATTAAGCGCAATTACAATTTTGTGCAATTAAATATTGGAAACTCGTTTGCCTGGCCCGGCTGCCCACAGCTACTGGGTAACCAATTTTGAACAAACTTCCGCAGCCGGAGCTTTAGGAAAACCTCAACTCATCCGAATATGAATATTATGAAAAATTTATAAATTTAAGCTTTAGCTTCCGCTTGCCACACAGCATAAAGCATAGCCAAATTCAATTAAAACACATGCTTCCAATAGTTTACGAGCAAATTGCCGAAAACGATTTTAATTAAATTAAGTAACGAAATTGAATTTGATCCGAACTGATTTGTTGCAATTAGTGTACAATTTGTAATTGATACAAATGCAGAGAAATTATGCAATGCGACGAGAAATGCCTTGTAACAGTTTTCGCTTTTAATTATCGCCTAAGCATCTCGGCTAAGTTTCAATTTAGGTTTTGTTGTTATTGTCAGTCTCTCTGGCTGTCGACCTGTCTATCTGTCTGCCTGTGTGTCTGTCACATAACACTGACGCTTAATGCCATAAGCCGATTTTGGCGTTTTCTCAAACTTCCTGCTCATTATTATGATTGTTATGAATAGACAGCGCAATCTGGCTGGCGAGTTCCAATGGAGAATACTGGAAATTATGCCAAGCCGAGCGCTCGTTTAACGCCAAAATTCAATGACTGTCATTGTGAGCGTGTGTGAGACTTGGGACAGCTTTTGCAGCGGCCTAACGCACAAAGTATCTCGCAGATACTTGCACATTTTCTTATATACGTATGAATGTACTTATTTTTTGCGTGCTACGCGCTTTCCGCATTACAGGCAGTCAGTCATCAAAACGCTTCCACGCTCCCATCAAGATGAACGACCCCGTAACGGCCATCGACGTCTGCGTTCTTGCAGTTACTTGCTTGTATGTGTGTGCATAGATGCAGATACTCACAACGCATCTGGCTTGCTGCGTATCTGTTACGTGGCGTTCACTTATGCAGATCAGCTGGCACTTGAATGTTTTCAATTGCTACTGCTGTGCGCCTCGCGAGTAACTCAAGCTCAGCAGCGATCGAGTGCGACGGCATTTGCATCTATGAGATACTTTGGCATCTCAGCGCTACACACTTATTACAATAATTTTTGTAATGCCTGCGCGCCTTCCGCGTTTATTACAATTTAATGCTCTTGCCCTCTAATGGCCAGCCGCAGGGCCTTATCAACCAGGCTATCTAATATAATTATGCACTTATAGAACAACTACATTAAACCCGGCGCAACTTGGCGCCCCTGGGCATGCGCATGATCATAAAATGGCGTCGGTGGCGTCGCTTGATTGATTCGTTGTTTATGCGCACAGTGTTGCATGCGTGTCTGGTGTTAGCTCTTTCCCACTGCCAAAGGCCAAACAATCCAAATATTTTCATATTGCCAGACGCGGCAGGCAGACATGCAAGCAAATAAACAATGCAACACATTCAAGGGGAAGGCTTTGACTTTAGCTTGAGTAAAGGTCATTTGCGGACTTTTTTGCAGCAAATTTGCATATATCTATATATATTTATTAACATATATACGATGTACACACATCATATAAACATAAGCCAATGGACGCACTCCGAGTTCAAGCCAAGCTTTTTGTGTAGCCCCATCTTCAACTTAGCCTTAGCTATGGCTGACCAACGGCGCTTTTTGCGGCTCCAAAGCTGAACAATACGGCCATAAATGTTTAATGCCGCGCTCTTGACCGGTTTGTACAGCTAGGCACTGTAAGCTAATGCCCAAGACGCAAATATCGAGTGGAAGCTAAAAACAAATCCAACAAAAATTGCCGGCTGCTGCAGAAGCCAAAAGAGCCAACGGCATATTTTGCAATGCGACGAGGTCAAGGGGCGCACAGAGATAGAAATCGATCATCAGATATGGCTCGCTACTGTAAAGCGAACAAAATGTAAAAGCTGAAAAATATGCTCGTAAATAAATTAAAAGATCGAGTGGCATTAGCCTCAGCCTTAGTTGCAAAACAAATAATAGCGAAATTTGCCTTGTGCTGCCCTCTGGGTAATATCTAATAATATTATGCGTCTCTTTTGCATTTGCCTTTTGTTATTTTTATACCCTGTACGCACTGAAAATGGGTGAAAACGAGTATTATGGTTTTGTGAATATGTATGCCACAGGCAAAAGACAAATTCAGAAGCTTCGGTTTGTAAATACCAAAGTTTTGTAGAGGGTATTTGCCACGGGCTTAAGGGATTGATTCCTTGAATGATGTATTCAGGAAGGCGTTTGAATGCTTTTAATAGCATCTCAGCGCTGGGTACTGGGTATCTGCCAGTCTGGCACTCCCGGCTGGAGCACACTTGTTTCTTTTTCTGCTCAAGCGAAGGCTAAGGTCGTCGGTGAGTGCGTGGTCAGAGAGGAGATGACGTGGGCGCTGCTAATTCAATGTTAAACGCACGAGGGGCCAATGTTAAGCGAGCCCCCACAACAACAACAACAACTACAACAACAACAATGTCTATGTACTTGTGGTGAAAGCAATGGCAATGAACGATGATGAACATTATGCACACTTATGTCATCGAGCCGAACTCAGAGTCATTAGCGAAGAAGTTTGTTATTCAAA